TGTCACTGGGAAAAAAATGTGCAAACTGGGTTTTTATACTTGCACACAAACCCTTTTTTTCTTCCAAAGGAGAATTATTTTGTAAAGAAATGTATACTACAGGACGCAGATCCAGGAATTCCCGAGAAAAACATGTCATTCTCAGGACAAGAGGTTCTGGTTTTTCTTTGATGTCACCGCACAGCCAAACTATACTCAAGGAATTCCTATTTGAGCAGATTTTAGTGTGATCATTAGTCTTGATGACATTTAATTAGCATTTGAGCCTCTTTTCCTCTCACTCTCCCCTCATCTCTCAGGGATCCATTATTGTTTTCAGCTGGAACCTGTGACAGCTTTGTCACTGGAGCAAAATACAGAATCAAAACCATTCAAGTTTGACTTATGGTTCAAACCCACAGTATTGAAGGTGCACTAACATCAAATGAAACCTGAGACATTCATTCAAACTGGAAATGCTATAAGCAAAATAATGATATCTGTCTCAGATGCCTTCCTTGCTCTTCCTGCAAATTTTCTGCAGTTTACTAATGAAGACCTTTCTCAAGTCTTCTTTCTGGACAACTTCTTTTGATTTGTCACAACTGCACAAGTGATTTATTTCTAAATGCAGATTTCCTACCTTAGTCATGACTTTTCCCCTTTTCTTCTCTTTACAGAAGCGAAATGCTGATAATGACTTGGTGAGTAAGGTTTGGTTTTATCTGGGCTACCAAGAAGATTCATAGTGACAAGAGTATTCTTACTGTGTTCACAACATGTTTCTGTGAGTCCAGCCTGAGCAAATGAATGTGTGTGTGACAAGGTAACAGCCCAGAGCTGCTTGGTTTAGGCTACAGGACTAACTAGACAGTTCCTTTCCTGTCTCCGGTGGAAACTCCTGGACAAGAGAATGTAAATGATTTTTAACCTCATTGCATTTGAATAAACAGCAAAGTTGCTTGAAGTCCCCTCTGTAGAACATCCGTTCTATCTTGGTTTTATTTTTACTTTCATGTTATTGTTACTTCTAAGGAAAGCAAGAGACCTCAGCTCTGAGGCTGATTCCACTTAGCACCTGCACTCCCCTTCAGCAATGCTTGAATGCTTTGTTGGAGACCTTAACCAATCAGGCCCACTATGAAAACTCCAAGGTTCTACCCAGTGCTGGTTTTGGTGCAAGAAGCAAACTTCATTGTGGAGTTCCTGAGTCCCAGCAGTTGTTACCTGTACTTTCACATAGTCTCCAGCAACTTTATACCTGAGCATTCAAAGAAAATAAGTATTGCCCTACTCATTTCCTTATTTAAAAGAGAATGAGCCCTATTTGTGAGAAAGTTGAAAATGACATAAAATGGAATTTGGAGCCATCTGGAATTGTTTAGATCTATTTTTAAACAAGATGATTGCTTACATCCCTGCTCCAGGAGTCACCCACTCAGATGATAATTACAGTCACTAATACAGTGAGGCAGCAGTAAGTTGTTGTGCTCTTTGACTAACCATAAAAAGTCACTCAGTAGAGAATAAACTGGTTCTTGTAAAGGCAGTATCTTTGCTGTGGTGTCAGTGTTTTGTTAAAGAGGCTGTAGTTATAACTTGTGGAATAGCACCACGATGGCAGTATGATAGATATCCAAGGGAACACAGCTGTGCTCCAGATCTTATGACTAGGTTTGTCCTGTTTTGCATTGGAGTGATGGATGTCCTGCCGTGATTTCTATATAAAAGATGCTTATGACTGACTAACACAGATATCAGTGTAACAGCTAGTGTTTTTTTTTCTCTTTTCGTTTCTCAATCTACAGGTTGTCAATGGGATAGAAATATATAGCATGAAAATTGATAGTAAAGTAACTTCCCGATTTGCCCACAATGTCATTACCAGTCGAGCTGTCAATCGTGGAAACGTGTCCAAAGAAGTCTTCTTTGATATTGAGCTCCCTAAGACAGCCTTCATTACCAACTTCAGCATGTGTGTAATCTTTGCAGTAGTGTTAGACTAAAAATCTGTGCAAATTCTACTGGGAGAAACTGAACCCAAATGTTCCTTTTCACTTTGCCATTTGATAGATTTCCAAATGCCTCCTGGGCAGCCTTCTGGTACTGTTAACATGCAAGATACATGGGGAAAGGCAAACATTGGTACATCTATAGAGATGATGTCTAATTTGCAATTATTTCTATTCATCATCATGGGCCTTAGGGAATGGGAGATCATCTCTGGGGATCCATTCACCTTTTTAGAAATACCACTTACTTACTCTGGTGTTATCAAAGTTCTATTACTTAATTTCCCTGATGGCATTATAGCTTAATTTAAAAATCATACTTGAGTGAAAGGCAGGAATAGAATTATTCCTTTACATTTGTACCTTTAGTTGTGATCATATGCGATTCTCCAGCATTATGAGGTTTGAACACATCCATCTCTGCTAGTCACACTGTGCCTCCTTTATTTTCAGTGAAAAGAAGCAGTAGCTTTAGGGCACAGCCACTCCTAATGCATGCTGGAACTTGAGTTATACAGTGAGGTGAGACCCCTGTGAGAAATGCCTGTTTAGTGGCCTAAGGAGGTTGAGGATGAAATGCTCAGCTGTAGAGACTCATCCAGAGTCAGGTTGTGATTAGATGAGACCTGCAGCTACTGATGTGTAGGAATATGGCAGGTGTGAGTCCTGTTGCTGTCAGCCCAGTTTGGCTCTAACTAATTTTAAAAGAAAAAATTGGTTTAGATTCTCTTACAATCCTGGGCACAGAGCTGTTCCTTCCAGCTAAATTCCCTGAGGAGAATGCCTTCAGTGGAAATGCTCAAATCTTGGCAGTACCAGGTTTCTGAAAGTGCTTTTTAGCAAACCAATCAATAAACAGATAATTTCTCTAGTAACTTTTCATATATCTGTGCAAACCATTCCACTAAACTAGGACTTTTTCATCTTCAGGACAATTGATGGTGTCACTTATCCTGGAACTATAAAGGAAAAAGAAACTGCAAAAAAGCAATATGAGAAAGCTGTTTCAAGAGGACAGACTGCTGGTCTTGTCAAGTAAGAATGTCTTGTGTGTCTTCCAAACAATCATCCTATAGCAAGTTGTGAGGCTGGAAATACTGGGTTATGGCCTGTGGGACCAAGGAAGGACCATTAAGTTAGAGTTATTGTAGTGCAAATTATTGAAAGGAAATACAACTTCTGACTACACAGGCAGTGTCGGCAGTTATGGAAAGGCTGTTTCTGCAGCTTTCACTGACTTTGTATGACCTGTTCCTGGGATTAAGATCACTGGGAAACTTGAATAAATTCTACAGTTTGAGTCTAATTTTGGGTATTGATTGATAATTTTTAGCAATAGATCAAAATTCCCATCTGTGACTTTTTGAAAATCATACTCCACCAACTCAAACAATAAATATTGTGAATAAGAATAGAGATGTTCTTTTTCCTACCCACTGAAATACAGAGCTTCAGGAAGAAAAACAGAAAAATTCACTGTCTCAGTCAACATTAAAGCAGCCAGTAAAGTCACGTTTGAGCTCACGTATGAGGAACTGCTGAAGCGACAGTTTGGAAAATATGAGATGTTCATCAAAGTAAAACCAAAGCAACTTGTGAAAGATTTTGAGGTAAATGGCAAACTGATCAAATCCGACTGTCACTTAAGAGATTATGGAATTCTGTACATCTTTTGAAAGTGGAATACCATGGCCTTTCCCATTGGCTAAAGGCCTGCGATAGTCTTTCTAATGAGTCACGTGGGGAGTGAATACCATGTGGTTTAGTGCAGATGTTTGTTTGTAAACTTGACAAATTAGCTCATCTGCTGAGCATTCCAAAAAGAGTCATGTATGGAAACATGAAAAGGCTATAATGATGACTTGAGGTAAAATAGAAAAGGCTTCTGTCAATGCCTTCATAACATAAACTACACCTTTCTCACACCACCATGAAACATCATGTTAAATTACAGTGATGCATATATCACCGTCTAGAATACTACAGCTTTTGTGTGCTAAAACTGGTCCTATTGTCATGCTAAAACCCAGCAAAAGTTTTCTCCTTTGTATGCATAGAAAAAGTTGTGCAAAAAAATCACTACAAAACTCAGCATCTGTAAGAGTTTATGCACCTTTATTTTAAACACAGTGTTCGAAGATGCATTAAAAGGTAAACTGAAGTTAGGAACAACTCACAGGTAATGGCTGGATTATATTTTTGGAAGACTTGAGTATTTATTGACATTTTACAGAATTCTAGTATCTAGCTTTCAAACAAGCTCTATTTCTATTAAGGTTTATTTGTTTCTAGCTTTGCTTTTAACTTTTATGTATCAAAAGGCCTGTCTGGCTGGAGATGTATCCACATAAGTATAGATTTGGACTGCCATTAGGAATTGCAAAAGGAAATGTCTTTTAAGAAAATCCCTCTTTCACATCTGTGTTTGCTTTCTGATCCTCCTGTAAATGACTAAGTTGATGTGTTGTGAGTTAGTCAATGCCAGTGGATTTTTAATTTTATTTCAGATTGAAGTAAATATCTTTGAGCCCCAGGGTATCACTGAGCTGGAAGCAGAAGGAACATTCATCACCAATGAGCTACAAAATATCATTAAAAAAACTCTTTCAGAGAAAAAGGTACATTGACTACTGCATTCCATAATTACTTATTACTTTTTATGGCTATAATTCTGAAGTAATAATGTCAGTGCTTGCATTGGAAGTGAGAGGGGAAAAAAATAGAGAAAATGCAGCAAAGGCTTATCTGTGCAAATAAGCTCTGATTTCCAAACTAGCAAGTTGAAGACCTTCCCCACACAGTTCAGAAGCCACATAGCTGTTAGCAGGGTACTGTACCCAAACTAGTAGGCCTTGTCCCACAGCAGGAGCTGGAAACCTGGATGAACTGAGTCAGTAACAAGTAGTTTTCTCTTGTATGGAGATGGTAGAACTCCTAAAATACAGACTGCCCAACAGCCTTATCAAAGGTGTCATTCAGAGTGCAAGGCTGAGCCAAGGCATGTGGGGAAGTTAGCACCTGAAGAAAGTCTTCATATAGCAGTTACCCATCAATAAATACATAAATACATGTGGATACATGCAAACTCAGAGCTGCCCTGATAAACCAAGTTGTCCTCATGTCTATGAATATAAATATACTAGCTTTAAAAAATGCAAATGCCTTTGTGTTCTGTAGAAAATTTTCAGCTCTGAAGGTTCAGCTCTAATGAAGGCTTTTCTTTTCAGGGACATATCTCTTTCAAGCCAACGCTTGATCAGCAGCGAACCTGTGCAAATTGCTCACAGTCTGTCTTGGATGGGGATTTCACTGTAAAATATGATGTAAAGAGAACAACTCCAGATAATTTGCAGGTAAATCTGACAGCTGGAAATTCTGAACTGTTAAGCAGCCTAGCTTGCACAGTAAAGGTCAGGGAGCAGCAAGGGCCAGCTGTTCCCTAAAGGACAGGGAACTGAGTGTGACAGCACAGTTGACAGCACAGGGGCTTCACCAGCCACAATCCACTCCCCACAGTACCCGAGCAAGTCAGACCCAGAGACTGCAGTTAAATTCAACTGAGATTCCAGGTTATGAGGCAAGTTTGTGGTGAAGGTCAAGGTGGGAAGCCACTTGTACAGGGTGGGATCCAAATCAGTGGGGTCCATGGACAGGAACAGGTATGGCTGTGATACAGCTGGAAACAGTAAATGAAAGTAATATCTGCTTTATCTGTTTTATCTTTACAATATACGAAAGTTTTTGGTGGTGTTGTAGAGTTTTTTTACATTTTATTTTTCAGATTGTCAATGGCTACTTTGTACACTTCTTTGCACCAACAAATCTTCCAAAGCTGCCCAAGAATATTATTTTTGTAATAGATACTAGTGGCTCAATGTATGGAAGAGAAATCGAACAGGTAAGTTATTACATTCCTGTGGAGTCCCAATGAATGAGTCTCAGTTGTGCTGGGAGGGACGTGGCACCTTGCAGTGCACATGTGCTGCCTCAGCTGCACCAAGTGGCTTTGACCTCTCTAATGCGCAGTACCATGTGCATGAGTTTGAAGCACTACTGTAGAACAAAAATCTATACATTTAGGCTACATTTACTTCCTTATAACTGTTATTAATTCAAAACTCTAAATATCAGCATTTCCAGAGAGTGCAAAATTAAACTGTGTGTACAGTATTGTGTGCATTATCTCTGTTGTCCATTGTGTGTGAGAAACAGCACCTCTTTCCATAGTTAGAACTCCTCATTCTAAGCTGACGCTCAGAATTTTCAGGTTTTGATGCTGCATCAAAATATCCAGGCTTGCTTGTTTGAGTTTCTCCACCAACATGTAGCTATCCATTTCCCATCACTTCCAATTTGCCATGTCAGCTTATCTCAGAGTAAGCAACAAGCCATGACAGAAGAGCTGATTTTCCTCTCAGCTACAAAGATTTACCAGATGTTATTGCAACTGACTGACTTCCCTAGAGTTACTCTGAAATAAGACACAGACAAGAACAGAACAAGCTCCGAATTTTTGCATGACATACTTTGTAGAAGTTAAAAATACCCCAATACTAAGAGATTAATAGTGTACAGTCTGTGAGCACCTCTTCTGTTAAATGTTGAATCGTATATTTAAATCTCTTTGTCTTGCAGACAAAAGCAGCACTTCTAAAAATCTTAGATGACATTAAAGGAGATGACTTTTTCAATTTCGTACTGTTTGAAAGTGATGTATCCACCTGGAAAGAAACATTAATCAAGGCCACTCCTGAGAACTTGGATGAAGCAAGGCAGTTTGTTCAGGGCATTGAAGCTAATGGCCGTAAGTACTTTATTGGACTTGCTAATAGGTCATTGTGTAAGTTAATTCATGAAGTCTGTGAACACAATGCTAGAGTTTGTTGGGCTTTTAGATTACTGGGTACTTTTCTGTCTAAATATGCCCCTGCTTCTAAACCCAAATCTTTGATTTTCATACTGTAATGAAATCCTAGTGAAAAAAACTGACCTTTATTTTGACAGTATCTGCTGAAACCAAATTTCTTTGTCTGCCTCATAGTGACAGATTTACATGGTGGTCTGATGAGGGGAATAGAGATTCTGAATGCTGCTCATGAAGGAAACCTTGTGTCCAAGAGAAGTGCTTCTATAATTATCATGTTAACAGATGGCAAACCAAACGTAGGTGAGTTTGTGTTGGATGGAATAAAAAAGACACTTAATTAACTAACAAAAAATGTTAGTTAAAATTTGCCTTCATCTTTGACTTCTGGATGTTTTCATGATTTAAATGCTGCTACACCAGCCTCATAATACTTAAACAAGTTTTTGATAATGGCTCCTAAGAAATCTGTGCATGACAAGATACATTTAATTTTGTGATCATTTTATCTATTTTTGGAGACAACTCAAACATTTCCTGGTTTGATGCAGGTATATCAAATTTTCAGGAGATTCAGACAGCGGTAAAAAAGGCCATTGATGGAAAATACACTTTATACAATCTTGGGTTTGGCGATGGTGTTGACTATGGCTTCTTGGAGAAGATGGCACTGGAGAATAAAGGATTGGCCCGTCGCATTTATCCTGACTCTGATGCAGATTTACAGCTTCAGGTACAGTAATTACCACTCAGATTAGATGAGACATACATTAGTTCAGATAACCATACAGATGTTCTTATGAAGTAATCAAAATCCCTATGTGCAATCTGATACTGAGATACTCAAGAGTCTGCTGTAATCAGAATATTAGAATCACAGAATGGTTTGAGTTGGAAAGAACCTTCAGTTGCATTTAATTTTCCTCTTCCCTATATAAGCAGAAAGTGGAAGGATGGTAAAAGAGAGATACTGTGGGCTATAGCAGAGAGTTCTAAACGTGGCACAGGGTGACACAAGTCATGGTGCTGAAGGACACTTTGGCTTGCAGCAAAATTGCTGCACTCATTATATCTCCCGTACCTCACAGATCACATGGTTAGTGTCATGTTGAGGGACGAGAAGGATAACAGACCATAAAGGATCTAGATACTCTGTCTTTAGGAACTTACTGCCAGCAAGTGTATCTAACCATACCTCTGAAGCATTTTAGAGTTGTAGAAGACATGGGAATAGGTATAGGCAGTACAAGGTTGATATTTTTTACTTCTCACGTTCCAATAGCAACCATTCAAAAAATTCACCAAAGAATTTAGCTACTGGGTTTCATTGCAAGCACATCCAGAATCAAATACCAGGTCGCCTTTGATTATGTTGCCATGTCAGTCTCTGCAGAGGATAGATCTAGACACTTATAGCAGGAAGCTTGGGATCCCTCTTGAATTATGTTGATGGAACTCATCATCCACAGCATGTTGGTCTCAGATGTTTTTCCTCTCTTTTAGCGAGACTGAAGAGTTTCTGTGTCCTTTCTCATTTCCATTATTTGTAGGTTTGTAGGCCTATTTTTCAATATTTCTTATAAAATACCCTTTTAGTTTTCATTGCTGACATAGCAGGATGGATACAGATATTCCTATGTAATAAAGAAACAATGCTAGTTAAATGTTTTCCTTTTCTGTTGTTGTTGTTATTCTGCAGGGGTTTTATGATGAGGTGTCAAACCCTATGCTCATAGATGTGGAGCTAAACTACCCAGTAAATGAAATATCAGACCTAACCACAAACAGTTTCAAGCATTTCTATGGTGGCTCTGAGCTTGTGGTGGCTGGGCGCTTCAGAGACAGCAACCAGAACCATTTGACTGTAGATGTGAGAGGTGAAGGTGTAAGTATGGATTTCTTTGACTTAAGTGAGGTACACAGAATCTCTGACTGTTCAAAGCTGGCACTACTTAAAAATATTTACTGGTATTTCTTTACCTCAGTGACAGGATGTGTAACTGTGTGTGTGAGAAACTAAAAGTGCCAAAGTCATTGCTTTTGAAACTGCAAACTACTTGCCTAACTCAGTCGGGTTTACTAAGGGCAGTCTGGAACAGCTTCATGCAAATGTGACTTCACTAGCTTTGCTAACATACATATATATATATATATTTAGTCTGTAGTTACCCTTCCTGGTTCTTTCAGGAGCCAAATGTTCAGTGTTCACAGACACTTCTCTTCACTGGGTGAAGGTTGGATAAGCCAGCTGGATATTTGAAATATCTTCCTCTTCAAATAGAACTCTACTTCTAACCCCTCTCCAGATCTGCATTCTGTAAAAATATTTGCCCCTAATATTCAACAAACACAATATAAATGTGTTATAGATCATGGTATCATAAATATTGTGGACTGCATATATGCTCATGCCCCGTGGTATATTAAATATAAGAAATTAAGTGTATTTCAAATACAAATAGTGTATTACTATTAACTTAGTTCAAGCATATCTTCTTGAACATGTTGCTCTCTGAAATCAGGATCATGGTCAAAGTTCTTTCAATCTTGAATAGCCAAATTCTACTGAACAAAAGTGCCAAGTGCATTTGGATATCACATAATGTCTGTAGCGTACACCTCTAACCTCTCCAGAAACAGTGGGACAAAAACGATAAGGCACTGACATTTTCTGGGCAAATGCTGTGTAGAACCAGACTTTTCCAGTTTAACAAGATTTTCAGATGTAAGGTCTTGATTTTTGGGAGGTTCTGGCAGTCCTTGGCTATGTATGATACAGAGAAACCTCCTTATTCCCAACAGGCTAATGATGCCCTGTCATACACTGCACAACAAGATGCTGACCAAACGGCTCAGGCTGTCCAAGAACAAGAATACATATTTGGAGAGTACATTGAAAGGCTCTGGGCTTATCTTACCATTGAGCAACTCCTGGAAAAACGGTAATTATGTCTACAATAGCATCTTAACTATAAACCCCTTAAGCCACCTGACCTGTGCAGCCTCTAGCTTGTGAGGCTAAGACATTACACTGAGGTGCCAATGGGAGAGCATAAAAAACAGTAAGGAAAATCCCCCAACCTGTTCTCCTCCCTAATCTCAGTATTCCTGTTTCAGGTTGCAAATTAAGTGATTTTAAATTATTGCAAGTATAAAGCACAGCTTTGCCTTGTTCTTGGATAGCCAGTGGAATCAGAAGTGCTCTTAGATGGTAACAGATAAGTCTTATTGATGAATTAGCTGCAGAAAAATTACTTCACCTTAAAGAAAAATATTTTCTCCAAAGTTCGGTGAGTAATTCAATGGTCATTGATGCTGAGAGTCTCTACCTGTATTTCAGCATTCAAGCTATAGGAGAAGAAAAGGAGAACCTTACAGCTGAAATCCTGGATCTTTCACTGAAATACAAGTTTGTGACGCCACTGACATCCATGGTGGTAACAAAACCAGAAGAAAATGACAATGAAGATGGGATTGCTGATAAACCCATTGAAGGTACAGACTTTTTCACAATGTTACTCTATTTGAGAAGCCAAGTGTTCATTTGATGTTCCCCCAAAGAAAGGCTTTCATGTGAGCACAGTTTTAAACATGTATCAGAAAAATCTACTTTCCAAGCCTGGCAGGTGTGTGGCTTATGCAAGATTACTTTTCACTGTAAATCTCATTTTAATCAAACCATCCTTCATTACCAAATGTCGTGGTTTAACCCCAGCCAG